AGATCAAAAGGACTTGATATGTACAGAATATCACACCAATTAGCCGCACAACTTTTCTCAGCAGTTCATGGAACTTTCTCTAAAATATATCACATTTTGGGTCATAAAGCAAAAAATGATAATTCATTACATTTTATCAGATCATATCAGAGTGAACCTAGATGTCAATATCAAGAGAAATTATACAAATTAATGGAGTGATCAGTGAATTATTTGAGGAAATCAGAAAGGAAAATTTTAAAAATTGTAGAAAAAAACTAAAAATGACAACAAAATATATCAGAATCTTTGAAACACAGCAAGGACAGCTCTAAGAGGAAAGCTTTTAGCTAGTACTTACCTTAAAAACAGAGAGCTCTCAAACAAATTAATACCTCAAGGTCTTAGGAAAAATAAAGTTCGATGAAAAAAATTAATGAAATGGAGACTAAAATAACAATAAAACAATCAATGAAACAGTTAGCTCTTTGAAAAGATATATAAATCAACATTCTTTAGCCAAACTGACCAAAAATGAATAAAATTTGAGATGAAAAAGGAAGGCATTGCATCCAATGAAATCCAGAAGATCATTATGGAATACTGTGAAAAATCTTTATTTTAAAAATCTGGAACTTCTCCAGGGCATTATGAAACACATCTCTCAAAATGTCTTGTAACTGTGCTGAGTAACCTACCCTCTTGTTCAGGGAGGCCATGGAGACCCCATAAGATGGACTTAAACCAGCATCCAATCTACAAAGAGGAGGGTCAACTCAGAGGGTACGTTTCCTCCATGCTTCCAAGTGAAGCCAGACATGGTCAAGCAGAACCTTTGACTTATCCTCCCAAGCCCATGTGACCCCTGAGGAACAGATCCTCAAACGACCTTAAGTGTAAAAACAACTTGATTTATTTGGGCCAACTGTACGGTCTTAAACACCCAAAAGGAAAATATAACCAAAGAGTAAAGTCATCAGTATATTTCTTTAAGAGTTCAAGGGATTACACTTCCCAGACATTAGGCTTAAATCCATATAAAAAGTTGTTCAGATACTTTTTCTCATTGATTATTTTGTTCCTAATCAGAAAGTGCTGCTCAGATTAAGACTTCAAATCTTGGTCTAAATACTGTAGTG